ACTCCCCCTCCTGCTTCCCTTGGTGCTGGAGTGAGCTGTGAGCCAGGCGATTGATAGCCAGACCTGCCTGGATGAGTTCTCTGCTCGTTACAAGGGCCTGCCACCTCTGCCTCCCTCCTTTCCATCTCAGCAGGTACCTGATTCAGGGCAGGAATAAAACAACTAGAAATCTCTTTCTCACCCATCCCCCTCACCCCATCTGCCCAGAGCCAGAGACCTGGCTGCTTATCCTGGCCCCCTGTGCCAGGGCAGGGCTTGGATGGAGACATAGACCTTCTAGGGGATTTTGAGGCTTCTGGCCATTTACCTCTCCCCCGGTCATTTAGCCTAAAGGTTTACCATTAGTCCAGATAGCAAGACCTGTTTACTGAGCATCAGCTGTGCATATATATATATATATATATATGTCAATCATTCCCAACTGAATCTCTGTGATAGGCACTATGATGAGGTCAATTTGATGGAGGAGAAACCGAGGAGCAGATTAGTCAATTTTCCTGTGGTGCAGTTGGCTAGCATCAGGCCCGTCTGACTCCCAAGGCTCCCTACACTCAAGGGCTATCAAAATAGCCTCCAAATTCAAGCACCATCTTGTCCAGAGATCAAAGGAAGAAATCCTGTGGTTCTGATGACGAGATAGGCAGACAGGGACCGAGAATGGGAGTGTGGTCTGCAGATAAACAAATAAACCTATTTGTTTATTTGAGGACCTATTAAGTACCAGGCTCTGTTTCAGGGGAAGGGATAGAGCAATAAACAAAAGGAAATCCCTGCCCTCACAGGGTTTGCAATCTAGTAGCCCAGGGAGGTGACGTCACTTGTCTGAGGCCACACAGCCTGCAAGTAGCCATATCTGTGGGCTAACCAGAAGCAGGGTGGAGGAGGTCATGGGAAGAAGTCCCATATGATGACCCAGGGTCAGGCCAGCCAAAGCACGGAAAGCAGGAACTACTTTGACAACAGACCAGCCAGAGTTCCAATCCCACTACTGCCACATCCTCACCTTGCAACCTGAGCAAGTCACTTCACCTCCCTGAGCCTCTGTTTCCGCCCAGGTGAATGGGGATGGTGAGGTCCATGGTGAGATATTTGGGAAGGTGAAATGAGAGCTGGCAAGTGCTTGGCACTGGCTCATCCTCTTCCCCTTCCAGTGAGGATTTCAGGCCTCTTCTAATTCCTCTGTATGGGCCACCTTGGCCTTGGTCGACCCTCATGAACTTGGAAGAGATCTGAGCATACTATGGCCTAATCAGCCACCGCTGCTTCCTGTATACTTTCAGCGGTTCATTCGTGGGGTCCTGGGGCAGAAGGTGGCAAGGCCTTGGTGTGGGTAGGCAGATTAATGGTAAAAAGTTACAACACACAAAGCACAAATTATAAAAGAAAATATTAAAAAGTTAACTCCATCAGTGTGTGGAGAATAGATTAGAGGAGGGTGCATCTGTCAGCTATTGCCACAATAATGCTGCATAAAAAACCACCTCCAAACTCAATGGCTTAAAACAATCATCATGTATTCTCACAGGCCTGCAGTTGGGCGGCTCTGCTCCACGTGCCTCCACAAACCAGTTGAGGGATGTTCTCATGTTGATGGCAGAGGCACAAGAGGGCAGGTCCCAGGCTTGGAACTGACCCACTTCTGCTCTATTCCATTGGCCAAAGCAAGTCAATGGCCAAGGCCAAAGTTAAGGGGCAGGGAAATCCATTCCATCCATGATGTAGCCTTGGCAAAGGTGTGGCTGGAGGAAGGGGAGAAGAATTGGGACCAACTCTCAGTATACTGCAGGAGGAAGTGGGGAGTAGAGTATCCAGGTGAGAAGCCTCTGCAGACCTCCAGCTGAGCAATAATGATGACACGGACCAGAGTGGTAGCAGTGGAGGTGATGAGAAATATCTCTTGGGTGAATGAATGTTCATATACCTTGCTATGGTCTGAATGTTTGTGTCCCCACTAAATTCATATGGTGAAATCTAATGCCCAGTGTGATGGTATTAGAACGTGGGGCCTTTGGTAGGTGATTAGGTCATGAGAGTGAAATCCTCGTGAATGGGATTAGTGCTTTCATAAAAGAGACCACACAGAGCTTCCGTGCCCCCTTGCACCATGTGAGGACACAATGAGAAGTCTGCAGTCTGGAAGAGGGCCCTCACCCAACCGTGCTGCCACCGTGATCTGAGACTTCCGGCCTCCAGAACCATGTGAAATAAATTTCTGTTGTTTATCAGCCACCCAGTCTGTGGTGTTTTACTATAGCAGCCTGAACAGACTGAGACACTCCTTGACCAATTAATGGTCACTCCTGAGAATTAAGCTAAAGACATAATCTAAAACATGAAGATATTTGTGGCAGCATTGCTTAGAATAATGAAGCGCTGGAAACTATTTAAATGTGCATGAAATGTGACCCCTGATCTCTAGGGCCTTAGAGAGTATAGCAGAAAGAGACTGGGCTTTGGATTCAGATAGACCTGAGTTCAAATCCCAGCTCTATCACTGTTGAGATAGGTGACCCTGGGCAAGTCACTTCACCTGTCTGAGCCTCAGGTGTGAAGGAAGGAAAGGAAAACGTAACTTTGTTGAACAGGAAAGAGAGAGGTCACTGGTGTCAGGAAAGGCCTCCCGGATGAGGAGGGCTCAAGTGTGGGGGAGGGGGTATGGTTTGCAGAGGCAGAGGGAGAAGGCAGGCACTCTCAATGGAAAGGATGACACGACTAAAGGCTTGGTGGCAGGAACGACGTGGCACATCTGGGGAAGCGGGAACACTGCAGGATTGGAGCTGAAGCTCCAAGAGAAGTGGTGGAGATGGGGTGGGGTACGGTTGAGGGGCACGACTGCAAGAGACTCTGAATTCTGGGCCTGGAGACAGAGGATTGGGGGGTGGGGTTGAATGAATTGTAAGTATGACCCCACTTTGGGCTTGACCCTTGCTTAATGGGCTGTAATCCAACAAGTGCCTCTCCTGGGAGAGTCCCTGTTGGACCACTAGACACCCTTTTGTTTAAAATACGGTTTGCTATGATCTTATGGAAAAAACTGGAACAAACTTTTTGGCCAACCCAATACATAGTCCATTATGTTGTTAATGGACCACCTTTCCTTTCAGTTTTAGGGAACCAGCAGAAATTGGGTGCCCTGCCCATTAAACCCCTTACTTTGGCTCTTGATATCACTGTCCCGGTTAGTCTCACAGTGTGTCTCTCTGAATGTACAACTTTGTGTGTCCATGTGTATCCTTGATGTGTGTTCCTGTGTGTGGGACTCATGTCTCTCTGTGTCCTTGTGAGTGTCCCTGTGTGTGTCTGTATGTCTTTGGTGTCCTTGTTTATGTCCCTCGGTGTGTACCTGTGGGTGTCTGGCCCTCTTGGTGTCTGTGACTCTGCATGTCTATGTGTGTCCCTACTGAGTGTTCTTGTGTGTCTGTCTTCATGTCTCTGTGTCCTTGTGTGTGTCTGAGTCTCTGTATTAGTCTGCACATGTGTTCATCTGTGCGTTCTGAGCGTGTGACATTTTCTCCACCACCTTCCCCACGCCCCACCTCCTTGTCCACTCTACCCCATCTTAGGAGCTGGCAACCCTGACCTCTGTCCACCATGGACTTCTGTCCACCTGGTGGCTGTGACCTGGCCAGTCTCAGCACTCAGTCTTCCATCCCAACCCCAGTGGAAGTGTCAGACTTTGCAAAGGGTGCTTGAAACCCAAGCCCCCATCATCCTAACCGCTGATGTGTGACTCTCTGGATACAGACTGAAAAATGACTGGTGATAATTGCAAGAGGAGGGCGTCTCTTTCTTCTAGACTCCAGCTAGAATTTATTAAATGTTCTTCTTACAACTTCTTTTCATTTCCCTACCTGTTGGACTCAAGTAGCTCATCAATCACGGGACGTCTTCGGTGTGAAGTGCATCCTCAGTGTTCCCACTCGACATCCGGCCCTGCCCATTCCTGCAGAGCAGGGAGCGCCGTGTCCCATTTCCATTCTCAGGCTGCGTCCCTGAAAAGACCAAGCTTATCCTTCATCAGAATGTTCTCATCATTGCATTCCTCTCTCCACACTGAGGAACACTGACTGTGATTGCAATTGGAAGAGGGGGGCTTGAGAGCACGTTTATGGGGAGGGGTCTCCAAGTTTCTTATCAGCAGGGCATTCTGAAACCCCTTGACTGGATCTCTCTATTTGACCATCTGGATCCACTCTCCCAACTGCCCCCCCTGCTCCGTGCTTCGGAAACCAGCCTTCAACAATGGCTTCCTTGGCCCCTGGTTTACTTTTGGGTTCAGCCAATGGCGAGTCCCAGAGAAGATCAGAGGTTGGGAGAAGAAAGAGGCCGTGGTGTCTAATCCCCTGGCTTCTCTCTGTGGGGTCCCTGAACTGAAGGCTACAACTCCTGCCAAGACCCTCTCCATCCAGCCCCTTCCTTCTCTGGGCTCTGATGACTGCTGCCTACTCTCCCCTTTTAGGCTCAGAGGTACTATCAGGTGTCCTCCACCTTCCCTGGGTGCAACACTATCCCTTGTACACTTTGCCCATATTTTTATAAATATTCCTTTTATTGAATTATCCTCAGACTATCCAACTAGAAGATGCCATCTATTTCTTGGCTTAACTCTGACCTATACACTTTTTCTACCCAGACCATAAGCAGATACACTTCTGTTGTTTTAAATTTTTTTTTAATTAACTATATTTTTTTCTGATAATAGAAGTGCCCATTGGGGAAAAGTCAGAAAATAAAAAACTATCAGCCGCATAGCACAGGGAGATCAGCTCGGTGCTTTGTGACCGCCTGGAGGGGTGGGATAGGGAGGGTGGGAGGGAGGGAGACGCAAGAGGGAAGACATATGGGAACATATGTATATGTATAACTGATTCACTTTGTTATAAAGCAGAAACTAACACTCCATTGTAAAGCAATTATACTCCAATAAAGATGTAAAAATACAAAAAACAAAACAAAAAAACCCTATCATTTTCCAAATACCTGCTCTGTTTCAGGCAAACATGGTGCCGGGAACATTCCACATCACCTCCATGAGGTATGTTTTACTACCCTTGTTGTACAGATGAGGAACCTGAGGTTTGGAGAGGTGATGCTACTTGCCCCAGTCACATAGCAAGGTAGTAGTGGGCTGAGGAATGGAAACCAGGTCTATGATATTCCAGAGTGCTTTGTGCAGCCCTGCTCCCCTCCTCAGAAGCCCTTGTTTATCTGAGCATCATTCAAAGTGTCCTGAATAGCTCTCTGGTCCCAAAACCAATAAAGGAAAATCTATTTGCTGCAGCCAGCTCAGTCCTCAGAATAGCCCTGGAGATGAGGGCAGTCTCGGCCTTTGGTATGGCCAGACCCAGGATGATTGTTATGGACCGCTCTGGCTCACCTCTCCACCCCAGCTGTGGGCTAGTGTTAAGAGAAGCCCTTCGTTGTTATCTCTCCCCCCAGAACCCAAGTCCTAGATCTGCACCCACAAATTACTCCTGGATAATTGTTGATAGAGGAAACAAGTGCTGAGGGCTCAGTGGGTCTGCAGGGAGGGAGCAAGTCTCCTGCACTTGGCCAGCTCCACTTCCCCACCTGCACAAGGTGACCTCTCCTGGTGCCTTACCGTCTTTTCTCAAGCTTTTCTAATATTACCCATTCTTCAGCACCCCAATCAGCCCCATCTCACACTTCAAATTTGACTGAACATCTCCAGTCCATAGGGGCATCTTCCCATGAGACACATCATTGGTGCTATGTGTCTTGGCACGTAATTGTTCTCTAGTTGTTTATACTGTTTTTGTCTTATCTCCCAGTTGCCCTAGGATCTCCATAAGGCAGGAAACCAATTTACTTCTATCTCACTCACTTACTCATTCACAGATTTACTCACTTATTTATTCACTCCTTGACTCACCCATTCATTCATTCACTCAATCACCTAAAACTTTATTATCCTTAAAATTTTCTGGTCTCCCTTTGGCTACATACGAATGAGACCACTGGAAATGACCCATCTTTTGAAAGTGCCGGTCAGATGTTGTCCACAGGGCCAAGCTGAGTCCCACAACCCTGACCTTGGGAGCACAGAGTCTTTTTTTTTTTTTTTTTTTTTTAGTACTTATTTATTTTGGCTGCACTGGGTCTTAGTTGTGGCATGCGGACTCAGTTGCAGCATGCATGGGGGATCTAGTTCCCCAACCAAGGATTGAATCTGGGCCCCCCGCACTGGGAGCACGGAGTCTTACACACTGGACCACCAGGGAAGTCCCACATCATTCAGTTTTTATGAGGATTTAACATAATAATGCATGGGAAAAATAATTTGCATAAGGACTAGCATGTAGTAACCAATTAGTTGGCTGAAATCTTTTTATTATTATGAGTGCTCAAGCATTATTTTCATCTTCATTTTACAGAAGAAAAACTGAGCCCTAGAGATGTTAAGTAGTGTACCTAAACCCCCCTCCCCTCCAGTGAATCAGTGGCTGAGCTGGTACTTGAATGCACGCCTCCAGAGTCTGAGGCAAAGGCTAAGACGGGGAATTTGCTCCAGTGCAACATGGTCCCTCTTTCCTGTCCTGGGATCCCTTTACTTTTTTTTTTTTTTTTGCGGTACGCGGGCCGCTCACTGTTGTGGCCTTTCCCGTTGCAGAGCACAGGCTCCGGACGCGCAGGCTTAGCGGCCATGGCTCACGGGCCCAGCCGCTCCACGGCATGTGGGAACTTCCCGGACCGGGGCACGAACCCGTGTCCCCTGCATCGGCAGGCGGACTCTCAACCACTGCGCCACCAGGGAAGCCCCCCTTTACTTTTTGAGTTTCATCTGTTGTCATTAGGTTGCAAGTGACAGAAAGGACAGCACAGACTGACCAAAACAGAAAAAGAACTTATCAGCTCTTCCAGTGATATGTTCAAACAGTGTCATGAGACACCAATTTACTTCCAAGTTCTTGGTTCAACTACCTTTGTGGTGGCAACATTCACAAGCAGAATCTTTCCATCAGGTGGTAAGTATGGCCCCCAACAGTTCTGGGCTTACGTCCCACAACCCCAACCTGAAAAGAACACCTCTTACTTTTAGTTTCAGTAAAAGTCTCAAGTGTGAGTCTCATTGGCCCAGCTTGGCCATACCTCTGTCCTTGAACCTGGGGCGATTCACACCCTGATTGGCCAGGCCTTGGTCACGTGGGTCTCAAGGTGATGCTAGCCCTACCCAAACCAACAGGCCCGAGGGCAGAGGAGGGTGCTTCTCCTCTGTAAACCTGGGGTCCTGTCATAAGAAAAAAGGGGACCGGAGCTGACCATTTGAATATAATAGCCGCCTATACAAATGAAATAAGACTTTTTTTCAAGTTTGTGAGAATTATTTATGATCATGCTGAGAACATTTTTGGCACACCTTTGGGCCCCTGCATGGGATTTTTTGTTTTCTTGCTGTCCTTGACCTCCATTTGACCCAGCTGTATCCCCTTACCCTTCCCAATCCTCAGCATTCCTCTTCCCTCCTACTAGCTCTCTTTCGTGAAATCACAGCAGAATCTCGAGAGATCCTAGCACAGAAGAGGAGGCCTTATCAGTCAGGATTGCAAACAGCAGACCCCAACTCTAGCTAAAGGGGGATTTATTTCTCAGCAGGAACACTAAAGGCTTGAAGCAAAAAGGAGGGCCTTGGAGGGTCCAGGCAGCAGAGACTTTCCAAACATCCTATCCCAGCACTGTCGCTGCTACTGATATGAATGCCTCCCTCTCCCCAAAAACTCTGCCATCTCTCCACCCAGGAGTCCAAGTCCCAGGAGAGACTGGGTTCCACAGGCCAAGCTTGGGCCACATGCCTACCCCTTGCACTGAGACGGGGTGGTTTGGCTTGTATCCCATCAAGGCCACGCTGGATAGGGATAAGGCAACTCCCCAGGAGGAAAGAAGGCTCCTTCTGCTTACTGGAAGTCAAAGGATGGATACAGGAGGCCAAAGCGCAATGGCGTCCACTCCAGACTCACAAGTGAGTTCTCATGGGGCAATGAAAAGGAACACGACTCTTAGAAGGGGCAATGGGCATCTCCTTGGGCCAGAGTAACCAGAAGTCTCCGTCAGCACCTGCTGCGGCCCTCTCCCTTCGTCTGTTGTCACCCTGACTCATGGCCTAGTGTTAGTAGCAGATTAATACCTGCTCCCCGACTTGCAGTATTCAGGGTTCAGACTCCATGTATTTTGAGGACAAGCTCTAATTAGCCAGGAACATTGGGATAGAGGCTGCTTGTGGCTGACAGCAAGATAAACATACCTAAATGGCCAAGGTGATTTGCAGTTGGTTTTCATTTTTCTCCTGTAATAGGAGAAGTGATGGCAGGGGTGGGGGCTTGTTATCTCTGGCAGGCCTGATGGATGATGAGGTGTCTCACCACCAGTGATGGTGGCTCACAGACAGCAAGCGGTTTATCACCCATCCCCACCCCACCCCGCCCAAAGCGCTTCCGTCCTCATCAGAATCAGCAGCCTGAGAGGATCCGAAGATAAGCTTCATGATATTTCAAAAGTCAGAGTCTCACTCTTTATTATGGGCCTTGAGACATCAAATAATACTCCCTTTAATGTGGTGAGGAGAAGAGGTAAACAAAACATCAAATAAAATTCTGTAAAAGGAAGAAAAATTCTCCGTATTCGTCAGCATCCTAACTCTAGCTATTTTCATCTGGGTAGATTCCCTTCCAGTGGGATAAAGTGGAAAATCTTTGGAATAACGCAAACCTGAGTTCAAATCCATGTTCCTCTATTTCCTGGCTGTGTAACTTTGAACAAGCCACTTCACCACTCCGAGCCTTGGGTTCTTTAAAGAGGCAGAATAATTTTGACCTCATAGGACTGCATGCATTAAATGAGAAAAAACGTGTGCAGGGCACCCAGGCGTTGGTTCCTACACACAATCTCTTTCTGCTGTCCCTCTCCATATTCATCTCCTCAGCACCCACTGTGTGCTAAGCTCTCTGGGAGATGAACACACTCTGTCCTCAAGGAAGTTCCTTCTGTTACATTGACACATGTTAACTTACCAGACTAGCTAACAAAGAACAGAGAATGAAAGAGTAAACAGGTCAGTGCTGAAGGAGGCAACGAGGGTGGCTTATTCACAGGAAGAACGTTGGATCTAGAGCCTTGTGCCTTCATTGGATGGGCTCACCAGGGACCAGCTGGACCCTAGGATGATCACTAGACCCTGTCCCAGACTAGGCCACAGATAGGTGTGCAACACATGTGCACACTGACCGGTACACCTGGGCACAAACACATATGCATACATGCACACCATACAGACAAGGACTGCACATATATACATATACACACTCAAGGTGTACGTGTGGTGCAGAGACATGCACGTAAACACATATGTGTATGTGCTCCATGTCACCTAAATGCATCAGATAACACTCCAGAACCGCCCACGTGCATCCAGCTCCATGCCAGCTCTGTCGCTGGCGGCATCTCAGCAACCACCGGGCCCTCCCTGAGCACAAGCTCCATTCAGCAAGCTCCAGCTGGGCAGAAAATTGCTCTTTGGAAACAATCTGGACCACACAGATTTGCAATCGGCCTCTCGGCAGGAATGTAAGACCTCATAGGGGCACAGGGCCTCGGCTGGTGGGGCTCAAGCCTTCAGCTTGTCAGTCTAGACCGTGAGTGCAGACTCCTGGACTGGCCCTGAGCCCAGACAGGACAGACTCTGCCTGGCATCTCACAGTGAGTGGGAAACCTCAACAGTCCCTGGACATTATCCATCTCTGGACCATGCTGCTCTGGCGAGGGGAGGTTGGGGAGAAGTTGTCCCTGCTCAGGAAGGGAAGAAAAGCAGGTCCTCGAACAGCGTGGGCTCACCTGTTTCCAGTTCTGCTTGTCCTGATTACCCCCATTCTCCTGCCCATCCACCTCCGGGAAGCTTGCCCTGATTGCTCTTGCCTTCGGGTCACCTCCAAAACTGCTCCCCACCATGTTTGTTCCTCCTTCTGCTAAATGTCTTGACCCTCTCGTGCGTGTCCAGAGATGATGCAGGGAGGCTGCCTTTGT